CCCCAAAACCCCAAAACCCCAAAACCCCAAAACCCCAAAGGGTCTTTCTGAGATTGAAATAATATAATAAATGCTCTTGAGAAGAGGCTTCGCGAGGAGGGCCAAGATCCCTTCTATGTTCCCCGTGGTGAATGTACTGGACTCTAGGGAGGATGATGGGATGTATAAGGAGTTTACGAAGAGTTTTGAATTCTTGAATCCACAGGTAAAACGGGTTTTTATAGATGTAGTTTATGGATAGTAGAAGGTTTATAGCAGATGCATTTGTTGAACACGAAGCTAAAGCGGAAGATAACCCGAGGTTTAATGAGATTAATTATAAGGAGCTGAGGGAATTTGCGTTCGTTGGGAGATCGAATGTTGGCAAATCTTCGTTGATTAATTGAATTTTGGGGCAGAAGTTGATGGATGCGAATAAGCGACCTGGCAAAACTAAGCAATTACATTACGTTAACTTGCCCTACTCGAACTGCTACTTAGTAGATTGCCCTGGCTATGGATTTGCAAGAGTTGATTTGAAAGAGAAGGAAAGTTGGGGGAAATTAATGCAGAATTATATCTTTCATTCCAAGTCCCTTCGAAGAATGGTAGGTTCGTTCAGAATATCTCCTTATTTAGATGATTTTGATAGATGCAAAGGTCGGCTTTGGAGCGATGGACAAGATGCTATGTGATCTCCTCGATCAAAAAGAGGTTCCATATATTTTTGTTCTCACTAAATGAGATAAGATCAATGAAACCAGACTCAAAAAGTCTATTTTAAAACTGAAGAAGCATCCCCTTTCATCCTCAGGTATTATTCTCGATAATTTTGATAGCATCTCCTGTGATCTTTATGACATCAAGTCTAAATTTTTATGGAGTCAATGAGCTGGCTGCTTACATCAGCTACATCGTATCCATGGAAGGATCTCTTATCAGAGGTTAAAAAATGTATAGATTATTGTGCATCTCAATATTCTAGTAAAAATAAGGGGTTTTGGGGTTTTGGGGTTTTGGGGTTTTGGGGTTTTGGGGTTTTGGGG